AGATTCGCCATGATCAGCAACTGCTGTCCTCCCATGAAGTTCGTACACTCACGCACGTATACATAATAATAACGATAACGATATAATAATATTATCTATCAGGGTTCCGGATGACCTAATGCATTATTTGTTCGGAGGAAAAAAAATAGAACAAATCTGATTCGAATTCGTATCTTGGTATATGGATTACAAAAAATTGTATGCATTTTAAGTGCATATTTTTGAATAAAATTACCAACTAACATTTTAGACTCACAATGTTTTCTTTTCTGTACGTGAATGTGGCCTTTTCACGTTTTGTAAATTTGCTTTGATATTCGCAACATTAACGGTGCAGGTTTCAGCTGTAAGCGAATTTGATCTAGTTATCTAGTTGGTTAGTTGGTCTACTTTGGTGGATCAATATAGTTCTAATTTCTTTCCTTTATAATTGGAAAATAGACACTTGATATTTTAACCAAGTACAATTTTCTTGATAATAAGTAGATATAATTTTAAAACAACACGCGTATATTGAACTGTTTTTTCGACTGTTATTATTGCATATTTTGAAGATTTTGTGGATACATTTTTGAGCCTTGATTATTATTTATTATATTATCCAAACGATTATGTGTTATTAAAACGGCTTATGGATACGTGCACAAGAAATAAGTGTTATTATTCATATAATTTCCACACTGTTCGTGACGCAATCGTTTTTTTTACATTCATATTCTGCATTTCTGTGGTGCTGCGGGTTTTAATATTTACCTCGAATTTCAGGTTCGCCGAGTTTGGTACAGTGTTGGAAATCAAAGATCGGATCATGATGGGTAATGGTTGCTCTATTCTGTCGACAATCGGAATGCGACGATTCAAAGTGTTAGTCCGAAAAGAACACGATGGCTATGACATGGCCACTGTGCAATATATACAGGACGAAAAAGTTCCTCCGAAAAAATTATTAGGTCAGTATATTTCTTACGAAATATATTATTATAATATTATACATCGAGGTAGTTGAACTGTTTTTAGTGAGAAAATTCATCAGTGGCGCTGAATTAACATTTGCGCTTTTACGATATTATATTATGCACTAAATTAATGACCTCCTTATAAATTGGTTATGTATATAGAATTATATAAGCTCCACGATGACGTTCGGCAACGGGGATTAACGTGGTTCGACGGTTTTCGGCCTGAAATAAAATCGGAAATCCTGAGGACGGTTGGTTTTCCGCCAAGCACCGAACCAAATTGGGAAGAACTTTCTGACGGACCAGCTTGGACGTGGTGGTTGTTATCGTTATTACCACTAGGCCAAAACGCTCATGTAAGTTTTAATATATTATAAATATTTATTTGAAACTATAGTAATATTATCCTGCACCATAATATGTATAAGTACCGAGCGTTAGACTCTAATTAGGGGTCACTAAAATGGCGATCCACAGAAAATAAATTTATTTATTATAGTGAATTAAATTAAGTTCTCATTAGTTTTCATTCTATTTTTCGATTTTGCCTTTTATTTTTTTGGTAAAATGTGTTGAATTTTGAATGCCTCTAAAAATATCACTGTTTTCTAATATGACTCCCCAAAAATATTAATTGGCAATCCCTATTATAAATTATCCTCAAATACTATAAATTAAATCACATCAGTAAAAATACCGAACCAGCTACAGTAAATCTTCATTTATCAGTGATAGTTTATAGTTTGTATAATTTAAAATTTTTGAATGTAAAACAAATTGTACTGCTGTTGTGCATTTGGCTTACGGCTTTTATTTATAGATTATATTAAAGCCTAACTCACAGGTTATTTTTTTTTAGCTAAATTAGCATAATATTCCTGTTTGATAGAATAACGAGAATAACATTTGATATGGAAAATGGAATGACATAACGACTTACTTAAATTCGTTAGTCGAGTATTATGCATCCGTTTTGTATATTATTATTACTACCTACCTATTGAGTATTGGCTTACATAATCTATTAAACAATTATTATTTATAATTATTATTACTAAAACATGAATAGTTATAGTTAATTGAGAACACATACAATATATTATTGTTTATGGGTATATAAAAACGTTTCGTAAGTATCTTTTGATATAGGTTTATGCAAATAAATAGCCTAAAAGATTCGACAAATATATGATAATATGATTATACTATACTATGTTACTTTAAAAAATAGATAAAACACAATTCATACGGTTATTCAATTTTCAAACTAAATTTTAGTGTATGTTTACACATACTTTATTATATTTTGAAGTAGGTAGATATTACTTTAACAAAAATAATGTAATTATTTAGATTAAATATTTATTGTCTGTATATAGGTTTTTTATTCGTTTCTATTAAGTGCAGATTTAAAAAACAAACAATGTTAAATTAATTTATCGTTTTACAAAAATTAAGCCTTATTAATTCAAATGAACTATTGTAGGTACCTAATAAGTACCTATCTTAAAATTTAAGTTGTAAAGTATACATAATCGGAAATTAGATATTGTACAATATGATGAGATATTTATTTTTGTTTTTAAATACTATGTGTTTCATTATTTATATTATTATTTATTATCATATTGCTAAAAAATGTCTTGTAAACCAATTTACGCTCTTGGTTATTTAAGATATTCCTACACAAATAAATAAAAACATGTAATAAAATACCCACTTTTAATCTATGTCTATTATATTTGAGTTAGATATCATTAATACTTTGACGTTATAAGCTATTTTAAATGCTATATTGTTTTTAGAAAAATGCAATTAAACGCTCGTCATATTTCCTAAACTCTAAATGCATTGCAATGTTTTTTTTTTATCGAATTAAAGTAATATAAGTAATAACTTATAACCTTTATGGGTTCTCATTACATAATATAGACAATAGACGTAAAATTAATAATGAACATTAATGCCATTAAATATTATCATGGGCGTATATACAATTGATCATTTCAGGGCAATAAAACGTATTTTGTCGTTATAATGTATATATTGTATACTATTGGTCTCCTATGTCTAAAATAATATTTAGGTGGCGAGGTTGCTGCAATCGGTCACGTAACATGATTGAGAGTACGTAACAGTCTACTGCTACTAGTTACCGGATGGGTAACCACCTGGGTCCTTAATGGTAGAAACCTTGCCACACATACACGAGTTTCCAACAACCGTACCAACCCTTAAAATAGCACTCAATGGCATATTGGCATATGTTGCCGTAGGAAATTAATAATAATAAAAAATAATAATATTTTGGTCTCCTGTACTGTGTTTATATACTTAAGATTACTTATTTTTCGGAAAATGGTGTCAACATTTCATGTTTTTACTAGCTTTGAATACAATATAAATAATTATTTACATTTTATCGAAAAAAAAAAACATTAATAAATATCGAAGGATTCGTGAATATAATAATATTATGTAGGTAAATAACTTGTATGTTTTGTTGTTTACCTAAATCGTCAACTGCTAACAAAACACAAAGTAAAATTAAAAACCGT